TATTATCTAAAAGATATAACTGAGGTTGTGTAACAGGAATTTTTATGAAAAAAAAATTTTTTTAATGAATAAGCATTCATTACAGCTAGATGTAGGTGATTGCTTTACGAACACTGTCAGCAATGAAGGAGCCAGATATAAACTGCACTAGCCCAGGAAAGCAACTACACACTTCCAGCTTTCTTTTCTTTACTCATGGCAGTACACCATGATTCCAATACAATGGCATATGGCCACGAGTCACCTTGGGACCTTTCACTGCACAGCTACAAAAGCCACAAATTGTCTGCTGGTCACCAAGTTGAAACATTTGCTATCTGGGAACTAGACCCTGAGAGAAGAGATCACATTTTACAGAACTTTGTTTCTTCCTAACAAACACAGCACTGTCCACTGAAATACAAACACTCACATGTATAATTCACAATTTTCTAGTAGCCACATTCAAATCTTTCAACCCACTGCTATGGAGTCAATTGTGACCCACAGGGACCAAGGTAAAAAGCAAAACAAAACAAACAAACCAACTAAAAATGTCAATATGCAACTAAAATAAAATTAATGAAAAAAATTTCTTTTAACCCTTTATAAGCCTTCAACATCCAGCATGTTACACTCACAGTAAATCTCATTCAGATGCTAGTTTTCCTCAGAAATACTTATATTTAAGAAAACTTAAAATTGAAAAAGTAAATTCACACATCCAAGCAGTTCTAAACATACTTAAAAACTGTCCAGAAATTGACTTGAAATATCACTTTAAAATTTTAAAAGTTGATTAAAATGTAAAATTCAGTTCCCTAAGCCACATTGCAATTGCGCAATTGCTACTTGTAGCTAATCACTGTTGTATTGGCTACCACAGGCCCAACATTTTGCCAAAAAATTAGGCAACGAATGAATGTAACAGGAAAAATAAAGAGATAGTAAAATAAATTTGTAGCTATCAAAACCATAACCCATACAATTTTCTTCATGATAGAAAGGAAGTTTCTATTGGTTGTTATTGGCATAGTTATTGGTTATTAGTGTTGGTGTTAAATTGAAAGACAACCTGAATAATCTATAAAGTTTATTTTGTCAAATGGCTTAAAATTAGATGCCCTAGCTGATACATTAGGAGTCAAAAAAATTTTTTTCACAGGCCAAAACAAAGGATGTAGCAAAAGGAAATTTAACATGGCTATCTGTCTTCTGGCAAAAAAACAACAACCCATGGACGTCAGAAGATAGTGTTTTACAAAGGAGGTTTGAGTTAATGTACAACATGGTAAAATTAATCTAACCATAGGTTGCAGTAACAGGATTGCGCTATTAAAACAAAGAAGGCAGTAATCTCCTGTTTTCCTAGTCTACTGACCACACCTACATTAATATGGACAGTAGAAACGATGTTTGAAATCATGGTAAAGAGAATATGCCTTGAAGTGATAGGTGAATGCCTGAACTATGGTTTAAAAATCTGCTGTAACTCTGAAAGATTCTCGATTACTTTGTCTTGCCCAGGAGTTTACCAAAAGTTGTCCACAATTTCAGGAAGGGAGAGGTGTGGTCACATCACTAATGGCAACACAGCCATTTATAATTAATGTACACAACATTCCTAGTAGACATATATTCTCAACTATGCAAGGATTCTAGTTAATGACAGATGCAAACATCTCATCTTAGGCGTTATGTACTCAACATATTGAAACATTTTATTGTTCTATTTCTCCTTTAGATTAGGGCTTTACATTGTGTTATGGGTAGGTGATATATATGAATTTGTCTCAACAGGTAAAAGGGGACATCACAAAGTTATTTGTTAAAATCCATGATCACAATCAGTATCCCTTAAGTTACTAGTTTTATAAAAGCAAAGAATACGAACTGCAGGTTTACAAAGGCAGCAGAACCTTACTTTACAGTGGTATTTGTTGTTTATTTTGCTGACAAAAAAGAGGAATAAAACATAATTAAAACAAACAAACCTGGTTTACTGAAATACATGTACATAGTAAAGATACAAATCTTGAGTACAGCTCAATTTTTAAAACCTGTGTAGTTCAACACTCAGATAAAGCATATTTCCAGCACCTCAGAAGATTTCCAAGTGCCCCTTTCCCAGCAATCTGCCATCAGAGTTAACACAATTCTGAGTACTTCAACATAGGCTAGCTTCTCACTGCAGATTCTTATATTTTATTTTCTTGTAGCATTTGATCAGGATAACTTTTATCTTGCTACAGTTTTGGAATTAGAACAAATTTAGGCCTCATTCAGTTTTCTATTATAATCATTACAGTGCCCCCTCAGTCATGGCTGTTGTATTCTTTAGAGAAGAGTAACAGATAAACAAATCAATCAGCTTAGCATCCACAAAGCCCCTTGGTCATTAAACAAACTTGTGTATAAGGGAAACAACAGTCTTGTAATACATCTCAAACTCTGGGACCTTTAAATACATGCAGTTAGTAACTACACGTTATCAACTATACTGGTAAGGCAAATGCATAAGTTAATACAATGGCATATCCTAATGCATCAAATGAACATTATGTATAGACATGAAGAACACCTACATAAAACAGTAAGCTATAAGTTTCAAAAAGATAAACATAGAGAACAATATAAAAATGTTTAAATAGATTGATGCAGATTTCAGAGTTCTGCATTGTGTCAGAAATTTTACATTCTATTTTATGTACTGCTCTGTCAATGTGAATAAAAATGTAGCCTGCAAAATCTCATACATAACCCACATAATCATGACTGCTTCATTTCACTGGCCTTTTCAAAGTCAAGAGTCAGAACTGTAACAATGACTGCATTGTGCTATAGTCTTTGAACTCAAGGGCCTTAAAATCTTTTTTACAATGTGTATTGTCATCACTGGGCTGTACTGCAGACTTGGAAACAAAATAAAAAGTCCTTTCCTGGAAGCTATTTCATCTGGGACTACATCTAGGAAATCATTTTACTATTTAAAATTAAGAACACAATTCTAGGCCTCTGAGAAGCCCTTTCCATCATTCATTTAAAAAACCAAGCAACCTTAGGGTAAAGGAGGAAACCGCTATAGATCTCAAACTCCAGAATAAGAAGTGATAGAAAGTATACTTCAGGGTTCTTCATTTCAGTTACAGCGTCTGGCATAAGGTACAGGGCTCGATAACTAAATTTTCTTAGCTTTCCTCTACATTTTGTCAGTTACTCATGATTAGGGAGGAGGAGGATCTGCCTCAACCAACTAGTAGGCTCACGCACATATTTAAGTAACAAGACAGTTGTTTCATGTGCAGATGAATGGAAGGCAGAATATAAATACGTTTGGTCTCATCTGCATTGCCAAGTCAGTTATCAAAAGGTGCAAGACTTGCTTGCACCCTAGCAAGTCTGAGATGGAGCACAGTTTGGTTGTAAACATTCAGAATAATTTCTTGGCGTCTCCCTTTTATATCTGTGGTAGTGTCACACTGAGAACTCTTTGGCCTCATTATGTTACTTGTTACTTAACAGCACAAAGCAAACATGCCTGGCAACTAGCACACAGAATCAGCAGCACCCACACGCAAAGTACTTGGAAAAAAACAACTCCCAACATGATTTGAAATCATATATAAAATAGCCAAACTTCCTACATCGTTATTCAACTGCAGAAACTATTTCCTATACTCCTCACTTAATTTCCTGATTGGAACTCCTTAGGACTTGATATGAAATAATATAGGTAGGGACTGAAATTTTCCAAATTTCTAAACTTTTAACGATGTTAAACACAAAACGTACAATTCAGCATTAGAAATAACGTTCAACATTTAAAGCAAAGTCAGAACAAGGAACTGTGTTACAGACCTGGGTCAAATTAAACTTTCTAGGCCAAATTAAACTTTCTAGCGCACACACACACACACACACACACACACACACACACACACACTTTTGACCTTTGTTTTTAGGCAGTATGAGATTACCTTAGATGACTGACCTTTATAGTCATTCCAAAAAGGGCTACTAGAATAGTTTGGAAAGCTCCATTAACTACAAACAGTTCTTTAACTAACTTGTTAAAACAGAAAAACCCTCAAGTATCCTAGAAAGCCATTAACGTTCACATAATTTTCATTCTTTCCCTCAGGGTAGAAAAGGTCCCTCTCAAAGAGAGCTAATTTAGGCAATGTTTTTTAAAAACATTCACGGTATTATGTAATTAACGTTGCAGCGGTCTAAAACTCAAATCATGAAGCATTTTATCCAACTTGAAAAGAGTCGAGCCAAAATAATCCTAAATTTCCACCGAGAGGGAAATGATGCATACCTGACGGATAAAACATTACAACTTTTTGCCAACCACCCGGAAAGCAGCATGGAAGGCACCAAGCACCCCCACCCGCAGCACCGCGGGGCAATAGTAAACTACTGAAGCACTAGCCCCACCTACTGATCAGCAACACTTCCTGAAACATTTTGGCACCCCGAGTCGCCTGTGCTCGCGCGCTCCCCCTCCTCCACCCGCCGCTCTGACCCAACCCAAATCCAGTTGAGTCACTAGGTCTTTATTAATGCTCATCTTCATGCTCTTTATTCCACCCCCCCTCTCCAGAAGGTTCTACACGCCTCCCCGATGTGAACGGAACTACGCGGTGTCAAAGTGTGGTTTGCAGCGCTGAACCCAGAACGGGAGGGCGATCGAGCCGCTCGCACCCCCTGGACGGGCGGGCCGGGCCCAGGAGCTTCACAATAGCTCCTCCCTCTTGCCCCACTCAATCCACAATTGTCCGCAGGGCCGAGCGGCTGGCTCCCCGGTCTAGAGTCCGCTGACCCTTCAGCCCGCCAACAGCCACAATCTTGCCTCCACCCGCTCCGTGCGCGGGGTGCACGGAGAAGCCCTGAAATCTCTCCCCCCGCCCGGCGCTCGGCTCCCGCGATCGCTCCCCTCCTCCGCAGCCTCACTCCCCCTAGACCGGCCCGGGGCCCTCGCCCGAGCGCCGGGCCCTCCCCGGCTGCCCTTTCCTCACCCTTTCATCTTCCCCGCCTGCTGAGGCCGTCTTTACCACCGATCTCAGCGCCGCCGCCGCCGTCGCCGCCCAGAGCTCGGCCACTCAAGCCCGACCAGCCGGCCTCCTCGCCCGGCGCAGGGAGCTCGAGCCGGGGACCGAGAGTCGAGCGCGGGCCTGTGTCTCCGGAGGGGGCGGGGGTTTCTCCCGCCGCCGCGCTGGGGCCGCTGCTTTCCACACGTGCACACGGAGCGCTCGGCTCCCGCCCGCCGCTGCCAGCCAGACCCGCCGCCGTGCGGTGACCTTTCACCCCGCCCCTCTGCGCGCCGGCGCGTCCGCCGCCTCTCGCGCAGCCGCAGTGCTGTCCTCCTCGCACCCTTCCCCGTCCCCCGCCTCCATCCCGATCGGGCCCTCCATCTTCTAACTGAGCTACGCCCTCTGGCGTCATTCTCCTCCCACTCTTTACGATACTACCAGTGGGCATGGCCTGCTTGGGCTAGCGGTAAGGTCCAGATTTTCCCACTCCTTTCTGTCTTCTCCCTCTTCAACGAGCTCAATCTTTCCCAACCCTCTTTTCAGTAGGTCGTCTCCAGAGTGACCTTCAAGTGCTCTGGCCTCCTAATGAGATTTTAGAAAGAGAGTTCTTCTTTAAAGTCCATGGGAGTCTTAGTTAAGTGAGTTTTAAAAATAAGCAAAAGTCATTAACAAGCGGACAGATAACTTGGCATCCACCCAACACTCAAGTTTCACGATCACATGATTGGGCCAAATCTTACGGCTGGGGATTTTACCGGCGGGCCCCAGGAGGACGGAACTCCATCGCCATTTCCGGTCCCGAGATCGTGGCGCGAACGTCACTTCCTTGGCGGTGCGCGTTAACCCTTGCGGTCCACGCCGCCTACATTGTGCTTCAGAACGTAATCTTAGTGACATTTTCTTTTGGTTTGCCTTTTAATTGAATCCTAAAAAAAAAAAAAAATTCCAACCATCTTCAAAAAAATCACAGGCTCCCGGATCGCAGAGCGCGCGCAAGAGGGCGGCAGGGCGGGGCCGCCGGTCACGTGAGCGACTAGGCCCCGCCCCCGCTGCAGCTGAAGACTTCCCCTCCCGCAGTGACAGAGCCTCTGGGTCGGTGGTCGGTACTGGTCCTTGCACCTCGCGCCCGGGCGGGTGAGTGGCGACGGGTAACCGGCAACGGATAGGGAGAGCAGGAGGGTGGGAAGGAAAGAAAAGAGGGCTTACGAACGACGGTCTTCGTCGCCTGGGGCTTTCCCCCGCCCCCCGCTGTCACTGCAGGGGCCAGCAGTTTATCTGTCCGGTTTTGCCGATCCTCTCTCCCCACCGAGGCAGACCTTGCTACCAAGGGGTTGCGATGTCCACCTTCTCTGGGCTTGAGGATGAGTTGCGGCCATTATGGTTTCCTATCAGGAGTCCTTGAGGTTTGGGGGAGTGGGGTTGCTTTGCCTTCGTCGCGAGGTTCCATTCCCTAAAGTCCCATTTTTGGGCAGGGCTTCTGAATCGCCTTACCCCCCAACCAGGCTGGGGAGAGAGGGGATAGGAGATAGGCAAAGCCCTGGAGCTAAAGGCGTCTCCGGTGAGACAGGCTGGTGGGAGGAAATGTCACTGGAATGGCCCTCACTGCGGAGTCACCCAAGAGCGTGCTCCCGAATGTGCTTTCTCAGTAATCCGTCGGGTTTTATCTGCCATTCCTGCCGGAGAGAGGTTCTATAGGTTTTCACGTGATTTGGGGTGGGACTGGAAGGATAAAAGCCAGCTTCCGTCGTTCACTTGTTAGATTTTTCTGGTGCCGAGAGAACAGTTAAGAGAATACAGAGATACAGCAGCTTCAGAGCGGGAGCCTTGGTGGCGCGGTGGTTAAGCGCTCGGCTGCTAACCAAAAGGTCAGCGGTTCAAATTTACCAGCTGCTCTGTAGGAGAAAGGTGTGAAAACTCCTTGGAGCAAATATGGACGGCCATGGGTAGCCTCAAAATGGGACGCAGATAATGCGACAGCCTTGATTGAATGGGGAGGTGTGGGAAGATGGTTTTACAGTCGTGATAGTGTAGGATGCCCAAACTGGCGTATTGACAAATGGCTTCCCTGAAAGGGAAGTCATTCCTCAGAAACCCAGCTGGTGAGCAAGCAATATCATTAAACCAAATCTATTCAGACCAATTTAATCGTACTGGTCAAGGTTAATTTGAGATCTTGTTGATTACATATTTTCTTGCCTTTTGATAAAGATATTTGCTATGCCTCCCTAAAATCCTATTTAATTTCTACTAACAATTCCTTGACAAGTTTGGGGGTTAATTTTAGTCAAATGCCACTTTTTTCCCTTCTTAGCTTTCCCTTTATAAAATTCAAGTGACCTCTCAGATTTTAATCACAGTGTTTTGTGCAAATACAGAAATTGTTTTGCCTAGATGTTCGACCAACCACATACTCCTATTTCAGACGTAATGTAGTAGGCAATGTTTTGCCTCCAAACACTTGGCTTTAGGGAGCACTGCTTCTTAGTTTGGGGTTAAACACCTTTATTTGTACTGCAAACTCAAGAAAGCTCTTTGGTTCTTTTAAGTTGAAAGCCCTTATAGAAATTACAACTGTAACGTTTTAATTTGTTATACCTTTTCTTTACTTGAAAAAATTATGTTTTCCGTTAAATCCAGTAGTTTTTGAAGCAATGTAATATTAAGAGCTTCAACACCCCTCCCTCCCCAAATTCCCCAAACCAAACTCACTCAAAGGACACGAAAAATCAGTGAGCTAGAATCCTTTGAATGGTGGATGTGACTGACTTAATTGGTTTGCTTTTCTGTACCTTCCGAATTGTCTTCCACAAAGAGATCTTATTTTGTTAAAAATTTGAAATAATGGCAATATAGCAAAATGTTTATGATAAATTCACAATTGAAAAGCGCCTTGCTAGAAAACAGAACCTTGAAGACTATTCTTGCTAGCTTTCTCTTGAATTATGAAGATCTTTCATTTCTTGTAGTTAAATAATTTTAGCGTTGTGTCCTTCAGACCCCTACTGTACAATAGCATTAATCTGATAGGGTTATGTAGCCATGCGCACTGTTTACACTCAAGTAATCCTTGTTTTTGTTAACCTCAAGTCCTTTCTGACCCTCTGGGAACAGAGTAGAAGTAAGCTCCATAGGTGTTCAAGCTGGTGACCTGTCAGAAGCAAATCACCAGACCGGCCTTCTGAGGTGCTTCTGGGTAGGTTTCAAATTCCATCCTTTCTACTTGTTGTCCACCACCTAGCCATTTGCTCTTGCTAGGGTCTTCTGGCCGTGCTTGCTATGGGTATGTAGTTTTGCACATTTATTTCCTCCAGATTGATACTTCTCTGAACTGTAGAGGACTGAAAAGAATAAGCAGTGTCACTTTATTGCTCAATTGACATTCCACTTTATTGCTTTGGATAATTCCTTAAGCAGCCTGGATGGTTCAAACCAGTTTGGTCTTGGTGAACCTGAAATGGAAAAGAGAAAATCAACTAGAAGCACTGAGTACTAGAAGAAAAAAATACCAAAATGAGAGAGCTTGAATGAGTCTGCAGTTTTACTTCACAATTCGCTAAATTTTAGGGAACTCATGAAAGCAATAATCCTGATGAAATCTAGAGACTTAGTAGTAGGAATTGGTGACTAAATTGCTGGTAAGGCTGAATGTAAAAAAAGAGTTTTGATATATACCATTTATGCACATGTATAGACATACTAGCCATTTAGGATTAGCTTTATAAGTTTGAGCGTTATCGGCAGAACTCTTAACACTCATAATGATGTAATTAACATTCGTTAAAGGTAAAACTGAAATTGTGCTACAGGCCAATACTAAATGGTATGTAAGAGTCTTTTGAGTTAGTGTCCCTGACAACATTTCTGCTTTTCCCCTGAGGTCTTTCTGGAGCCCAAGACCTAGTGGTTAGGTGTTGGGCTGCTGATTGCAAAGTGAGAAGTTAGCAACTTCCAGCTGCTCCAGGGGAGGAAGATGAGGCTTTCCACTCCCATAAAGAGTTACTGCCACAGAAACTCTAGACCTGCCCTGTAGGGTCGCCATGAGTTGGAATTGACTCAATGGCAGCAAGTTTTCTGGCTAGTCATATCTGAGATCACTTCTTTCACTGCCTGAACAAATTAACCACCTCTAGGAATGTTCTGCCTTCAGAACTAATCCCTAAACTATAGACTACTGTGTGATATTTTTCTTCCTCTATGTTTACTAATATTGCTTTGTATTTAAGTATTGTTTGCTGGACTATTTTACACTAAATCTTCTAGGCGTTCCAGGATAGCGTCTTTACATTTGTGTCTTCAGCCAGGATGGTAAAGTACCTGATTAACAAAAGAAAGAGCCAAGCTCGTTAGTCTAGAGTCAGTCCCAACCTCAACTCCTGGCAGTTGCTTGTATGCTCCAAAGGATTTTCAAATCTTATAGAAGTAGATTGTCAGACCTTTTTCTTCTGCACCATCATGTATTTATTTGCACCATCCAGGGACCTATCAGGTACTCAGTAAATTGTTTATCGAATGAGTGTTTGACAATTGGATAAAAGAAATGAATCCACTCCAGGATTTGCCAGTCATAGCTCCTTCTAGGACTGTGTAGTAGGTAATTAGTGTTTATATAAGCTGGAAGTAATGATCAGTAGAATAGGCATATGTCTCAAAGATAATTTATTAATACCTACTTTTACAGCATACACATGAGAGGATAAGTAAAAAAAATATTGCTGCTAGGCTTCTAGTTCATAATAAAATGTGTTCCTAGCCAAACATGTTTAAACATGTCTCTGATCAATGGATGGCTGCAGACAGTGTTTGCTCAGTAATACACTTGTCTTAACTTTGTTCTCAAATTCACTGCCATCAAATCAACTCCAGTTCACAATGAACCTATAGAACAGGGTAGAACTGCCAAACTGGCCCATAGATTTCCAAGACTAACTCTTTACGTGAATGGAAAGCCTCATCTTTCTCCTGAAGAGTGAGTGACTGATAGTGTCAAACCACTGGCCATGTGGTTAGCAACCCAACAGGAAAGCCACTGCCACTTGATAAGGCCCCTTAAAAAAATCCAACCCATGCAGTAGCTTCTCAGGAGATTTGCTAGGATAGTTAAATTCAAGACAGAGGAGTTCATGAGACTATGCTGTGTTGGTGAGAAAAGGGCCAGGAAAGTTGCACTGCGGAATTGTTTCCATCACAGTAATGCACCTGCTCATTCCTGGAGGGTAGCAAGGGCTGTTCTTCGAGGATTTCAATGGGAACCTTGCCCCATGCTCCCTACCCCTGATTATGCCCCTTCAGATTTCATTTTGCTCCCCAAACTCAAAGAACAATTGAAGAACATGATTTGAGTCCCTGGAGGATGCCAAGACTGCCGTTTAGATGTAGTTTAGACAGAGTTTAGGATTTTTTTTCAGGAAAGAAATGGAAACATTGCCTTCAAAGTGTGTGACTCTCTTTAGTGACATGTTCTTTTAAGTGAAATTGGAGGGGAGACTCTACCTGTCAAGGGTGTTATGAGTTCAAGGTACACCATTATAGTCTGTGTAAAGCTAAGTTTATGTAAATATAAAGCAATGTGGTACAAACTTTACCAGAAATAAGGCGCCCTGGTGGTGCTGTCAGCTAAGTGTTGGCTGCTAACCACAAGTCAGCAATTCAAACCCACCGGTTGCTACATTGGCAATGGATTAGGCTGTCTGCTCCTGTAAAGATTATAGCCCCAGAAAGCATAGGTAGATTGCTGTGAGTTGGATTCAACGTGATAGCAGTGGGGTTGACCAGAGTAGATATCACAGTTGGGTTCAAGTTCAGGCCCTATCATTTGTTAGTAGTATGATCCTGGATGGTTAAATTTCTTCATGTGTAATATCTACCTCAAAAGTGCTAATAAATGGGATCATGGATGTAGAATGCTTAGTGAACACACTTGGTTTTTTTGTTTTTTTTTTAAGTTACTTATTGTTACTTTTTATACTCGATTTCCAAAGAAGATCTAAGGTATACTACAAAATTGAGTAATACCTCCTTTGGAGTTCCAGGTTTGGGGATTAGAGATTCTAAAACAGATCTGTCCATAGTTGCTGAGAATGATCAACACAGCTACTATTTTGGCACCTGCATTGTCTTAATAGTTTCTTTGTACA